TAGAAAACATACTTATTTGTTATGTCTTTGGTAGACCTCAATAATTTAAATTTTTATCTACCTGAATTTAGCTAAAATAATTGCATAAAAACAGTTATACCATCCTTGCATAGTAAATATTTTAAAACCATCTATATGTTTATTATAAACGTATATAAAAGTCAAGAAGTGAAGCCCCTCCAATGTGGAAAGCTTAATTCTATCCAAGTCGTTGAATGAGAGATAGCATTATTTTAAAATACCGCATCATTTCATGATGATAGTAGTAGATTAAATCTTACAATTTTTTAAATTAATAGGGCTGCAACTTGTTCTTAGTCAGACAGCTTTAAATTGCAATTGGATATATTCCTTTTATAATAAATGTTTAATAAATTATATTATTAGTAATAATTAAGTATAGAAGCATATATATATATATATATATATCTTAGTTAGAAACGTTTTGGCCTAATACAAAACTATTATTCTTAAGTATGTTAGCTAACTTGAAAAAAAAAAAAATTTACCTAGTAACTTCATTTGGAATTTTGATGGTACTAATGACTCGCCTAAAGACTTGCAAAAGTTTAAATTTATGCTCAACTATTTCTTTAAGATAATTCAGTACTTAATGCATGGTACACATTTACAAATACGGTATAACCGCTAAGTGCTTTCTTATGGGGGGAACATCTTTGAGAGCTTTGGGTCTTCCCAGAACGTACAGCAAAGCAGAACAGGTAAAAGGAAGGTTTTTGGCTCCCTCTGCTATACAAAAATAATAAGCACAGCCCCTCTCGCGTTACTCCCATATAGGGTCATGAAATAGTACACCTTTTCTACCTTATTTTAAGTGGAAAAAAATATTTTTTTTGTAATAAGGCGTTTTAACTTGACCGGTAAGAAGTCTACATTAAATTAAATAGTAAAGTTTATTCTAAACTTAAAATTAATAAAATTTCCTTAGTAAATATAATCTCAAAGAAAAAAAGGCTTAAGTAATTATATACTTTTTTCTCTATACAAGAAAAACAATGCTGATAATTATCACGTTCGACAGCACTATTTTATTTTTAAGGGGTACATCTTAAATTTCATATTTTGTATCTTAGAAAAAATTCATTGGCACTTTAACCACGCACTTGTTCTATAGAATAGAGACATATAGTAAAATTGTAGCCTTCTACCAATTCACAAAATTTTTGTAAACAACTATACACCTTGAGTAAGAAATGCATTATATATAATAACCTTTGAAAATGAAGTTGTTTACTGTAGTAAGTTTTTTATTTATGCAAATATCTTTTTAACTTAAAGGCACCCTGAAGGTGGGGAGTTTAACTTGGGTAAATTCCATACAGAAAAACAACTAATTTGACTAGGACCCCAATGCATCATATTTGGAGAAAAGTATCAGTCTTTTCGTTGTAGCTGTTCCAAAAAAACATTTGTTTGAATTCATCGTAATAAAAACCCTACAACGCAAGTACAAAAGAATGCCACCTATTCAGGAGAATAACAATATTTTGAAGGGCAAACAGTACTAACATTAAATTACTGCTAATTTAACAAATTTTAACTTCATTATACAGCGAAAGAGTTAACTTATCAAAGGTAAACTGTGAACTTGTTTTGACCATTTTTTACCTGAATTCTATGAGGTTACTTTTTTTTCTATTAAACTCATTTGTAAACATGAAACGCATTGAGATTAATAAAACACATTACGCTACGTTATCGTTATAATCAATGGAATTTCTATAAGGATTTGTTATGGATTTAGTAAGAAGGTGCTAAATATCGCAAATCACAGAAAGAATAATCCAGACGCTAGCATTGTTGTAAATTATTCAACATTTTATTCCACCAAAAATATAAATAAAAATTACAAATGTTTTACTATTGTTTATATAAACAATATTTTATTCTCAATATAAAATTTTTATAATTAGAAAAAATATATTTTTTAGGAGAAAAGTGCATATATTAATAAATTAATTTGGCGAAACTTTTTTTTTTATACATTCTTTTAATAGTGATTAATAAAAAGTTTTAAATAAAAAAACTTTTAGTATTATTTTGTAAAAAAATTTAATAAAGTATGTTAAGCTTGAAAATTAAACAGAAATTTGCATCTAACATTCTTTTTTCATACTATTTATTAATATTATAATAACTTTTGATTAAAATATTTATTAAATTAGCATTATTTTATAGTGATAACTTATATATTAAATAATTAGAATGAGTAAAAATATTGAGTAGAAATAAATTTGAGATGAAATTAGTTTGGTTCTTATATAACATAATTTATTAATTAATAAAATTTTATAAATTCAATAATCAAAAAAATTTTAAATAACAAATCAAAAAGTGCACAAGATGAATCTAGTTTTCTTCTTGTGTATTATTTTATCAGTATTATATTGAAATATAACTTTCAATAAAAAACAAAAAAAAAAGAATTTTAGTATTATTATATATTTAAAATTAATTAATTATAAAGATCGGTAAACAAAAACTTATAAATTTAATTTATTTCTTTTAAAAATATATGTTAATGTATAGCTATTAAAAAAAATACTTTAAAAAAAAGACCTTTTTTGTTATTTAAATTAAAATTCATATAAAATAAATTGTCATAAAGAATTTATAAAAGAAAAATTTGTACTCAAGTAAAATCTCATTATTTTCTTTTATACAAATATATAAAATATTATAATAATTATTAATGAAAATACTTGAAAAAAAAAGTTTTTTAGTATTATTTATATAATAAAAATAGAAATAAGAGGTATAAAGTAAAAGGTAAATACAAACTCAAGTTTGAGTTAAATTTTTTACACTATATTTATTAATATAACAGTGTAAATATTAATTAGAATACTCCAATAAAGCCTTTAAGTAATATTTCATAAAAATATATAAATAGTTACGAAAATTAATGAAAACGTGTGAAGGAATTTCATACTTTTACACTGTTTATTAATAGCGATTAATTAAAAAACTTAAACTACTGAATTTATAGAAGTACTGATTTCTTACCTTTTATAATTGCACTCATAGTATTTTAAATTAAATAACTTTGAACAACGAAAAATTGCTTAAAAATAGCTTACACACTAAATTATAAGATTATTAGACCAACTTATTAGTATAAATCATTGCGTGCTAATAAATGAATTTATAACGTACTAACTTGTCAAACTTTAATAATTGTCACTTACTTTTGTATAGTTTAATAGCTTTGAACAACAAGAAAGTTTTTTTTTTTAAACTTTTGATGCGTTTTTCCTCACTGCCTATACATAACTCTATAAAATCATGTGTGCTTAAAGTTAGATTTGTAAAGTAATAGTTTGCTTATATACTTAACTGCCCCTTACATTGTTCTAAATTACAATGGAAAACAAAAAGTTTCTTTAAAAACTTTTAAAGCGTTTCAGTTCAAACTGCTTAATAGTAGCTTCCTACTACATAGTTTATTATAAACTCGTAGTGTTAGCTACTAAGTTAATTTTATAAACATTAATAGTTAATATACTTGATTGTCACTCACATTATCTAATTAAAATAACAATGAACAACAAAAAGTTTCTTTTTAAAACTTTTGAGGTTGTTCTTTCTCTCCTCTTTATAATAGTTTATTTACTAAATATTGTTTTGTATGCTAATAAGCTGGTTTGTAAAAATTAGTAACATAATAATTAATAGTATTATAGCTTGTTTTCTATCAAAAAGTTTTGATAGCTCAAGTTTTTTAAATATAATTATTTAGCAAAGAGAGTCATTAATTTTTGTGTTCCAGAAAATTTTTTTAAATTCAAATCTTTTTTCTTACGTGTGCTAGTTTTGGGTAAATTAATTTATTACAAACCGTTTTATGGGCTGATGTGCTGGTTTTGGGTATAGAAATTTTTTTATTTATTAATTTAGCCGCTTCCAGCTTGTTCCCTTTTGTGTTTTCTTAATATAATAGACAATCATTTGTATATTTGTTAAAGTTAATTACTTTTTTTTAGTTTACACGCTATCGATAAGTTAACTTAATAAGAATTCAAGTGTATTGATAAATTTAGTTTGCTGTGAAGTAGCAATTATTGGATCTACTTTATTCCATCTTTTCTTTTTAAAGGTTTTAGTAGCGCGAGGTCTAGTTATTTTTTTTTCTTTTAGCTTTGTTATTTTCGTTCTACTGAATGACTCCAATAAAAAAGCAAGATTCGGGAAGTACAGTATTTGAGTATCTGCAACAGAAGGCACAATTCCTATTTGTTTTGAAAAACTTTTTTAATGCCTGCGATCGTTGTACGTAAATCCAATAGCCTATTTCACTTTTTTTTCCATTTTTTCCTAAGCTGATAATAGCTTAAAAAAAATCTCCCAAGCTGAAAAGCAAGCTTTTTAATTAACAGTTAATAGGAAAAATAGTTGTTTTGGAGATTTTATTTTTTATGAGAAAAGCAGAAGTTATTTTTTTAATGTTTCATTTCCGTAACCAAGTCGAAAATAGTTGATTATAATTATAATAAAGTTTATTTAATATTTGTCCCCAATTTACACTGTCTCTGAATCTCTTCTAGAGAATAACAGGGGATAGCCATTATTGAAGAATGCACACTCGAGAGGGATTGCTATTACGTGCTCTTCGGCAAATATTATAGTCAAAAGTTCATATATTTATATATAATTTTTTATTAAACCTAACTCATAACGCCGATATATTTAAAAGTTTAATGCAATGCAATGCTCTACTAAAAACACCGTTGTACTAAATATATGATGACGTAAAAGCAGGTAATAGACTTATTCTAAGTGTTTCGGAGCAAGGAAGGTACAGAAAAAAATTAAAAAATAAACTTCATTAAGAATTATTATGACATCGCCTTTTATGGTTTATACAGTAAAAACCAGTACCACCAAGTAAAAGATAGCGTAATACGTACTAAAAATGTTTATATAATATCCCTACCTCACTATAGTGAGATCAGGAGATAATTTCAGTATTAATACCCGTCGTTTAAGTAGATTCTGGCTTACATGGTGTAGGGCACTTAGTTTGAAAAGAATCATTAAAGATTTCTAGGTTCCCTTCAAAAGTGCAGTTTCCGTTAACAAAGCTTAATTCATTGTAGAGCACCCGCGAGCAGCAAAGAAAATTTTGGTCAAGTATTAATTTGCTTGTAGTTTTTAAAGGTAGTTAAAAAAATTTTGTAAAAATGCAATACTAAGGAATAGTAAATTACATGCCATGAGGGTACCAAGAAGCCGCAAAAGCTTTAGCCCCAATCTCAGTTAGAGGATTTCCTGTAAGGTCCCTAATGGTTATGTAAAAGATAAATATTAACTAATATACTTAACAGGAGGAACACCTGAAACAGCGCCGTTGCCCCGATAGGTCTTATAATATAAGCCGTTTTACTAAAATTATTTCTAATACTCATTTAATATGGTCTTTAATAAGCTGATTATACTGGCAAACTGTGCGAAACATCGGCTTACGCGGTTTATTTAGATATTACAAACAGAAAGTTTTTGACGGAACCACTAAACTAAACGTTTAGGAAACTATTGGAAAAAGTATAATAAGATATGAAAGACGCCTTCAAAAGCAACACAACATGATATGTATATGCAAGAAAAAAAATAAAAAATATGCTAAAACGTATAGAAACAAGATCCCTAAAAGTATATAAAAAGATAAGAAGTTTAAAATTAAAATAAATTGTAAGGTATGTTACCACACCTTAATTAATAGTAATGTAAATAAAAAAAAGTACAAATAGAGAGTTATAGTGGTATTACTAAAGAAAAAAATGTAATGCATAAAATAGGCGAAGACTGAAGTAAAAATGGGTAGCATAGAAAGTGCAACATAGCTCCTATAATCGGTTTATTGTTATCTTAGAATAATAGAGCTTCCAAATTAAGGTGCCTTATAAAACCTTCCTCAAGAGGAGTAACGAATAGAATAAATAACTTACAGTTCCGTCAAGGCAATGAGATGAATAAACGAATCGGCTTCAATTGATTTTATTTTGTTATTGATTATGTTTCTAGATATAATATTTTATTATCATTGCAATAAGATATAAAAAATACTAAACACGATTATTAAGACTATTAATAATATTATAAGTAACTATATAATGTTAGTAAGCGGCGAACAATTTATGATTTATGAATAAAATGGATGAACCGAATATTATAAAAAAATATATTTTATGATAGGATCATAATTATAAGCTTACAACAAAGTCAAATTAGGGAGGCCATAGAACATCCCTTTGATGATGGAGGTAAATTGGTTAGAACCTAAATTCCTTAGAGTTTTTATTAGTAGTAATATTAGAAGAAAAATTAAAAATAAGTATGGTAATATTTGAGCTTAAAATGCATCCATTTGGTACTATCATATTAGTAAAAAAAAGAAATATATGGCAAAAAGAAAGGCCTCAGAAATAATTTAGTCTAGCTAACGAAAAGGGTTGTAGTTGAAATAGATTAGCAAGGTAATGACTTTATAGATATCAATTAGCTTATGGTAAAACCCCAAGCGTTTTAATAAAGAATAAGAGTCTTACAGTTCAGTCAAGGCAATGAGATGTGAAAACGAATCGTCTTCAATTGATTTTATATTGTTATTCCATAAAGTTCTACAAGTAATATGTTAATAACATTGCAATAGGAAATAAGAATTACTAAACACGATTATTATGACTCTTATAATATTATAAGGAAGTAACTAAATAATTTATCGAGTAAGCAGCGAACATTTTATGATTGTTTCGAGTAGCATAAGTGAAAGAAATATTGTTATATACTAAGATACTTTATGATTAGATCATAATTATGGTCTTACAAATGATTCAATTTACGGAGACCAGAAAACATTTCTTTGCTAATGGAGGTAAGTTGGTTAAAACCTATATCCCTAGTAGTTTATGTCAGTAGTAAAATTAGAAGCCAAATTAATAATATGTTAATTAAAATCCATTTATTTGGTCATTTAACATTAGTTCAAAACATTATTTATAGGAAATATGAAAACTCAAAAAAAATTAAATTCTAGCTAACGAAAAGGGCTGTAGTTCAAAAAGGTTAGCAAGATAATATATCTAAAATTTATCATTTAGCTTATGGAATAACTCCCAAACGTTTTAATAAAGAATAAAAATCTTACAGTCCAGTCAAGGCAATGAGATGTGATAACGAATAATCTTCAATTGATTTTATTTTGTTATTCAATAAAGTTCTACAAGTAATATGTTAATAACATTGCAATAGGATATAAGAATAACTAAACACGTTTATTAAGACTCTTATAATATTATAAGGAAGTAACTATATAATTTATAGAGTAAGCTGCGAACATTTTATGATTGATTAGGGTAGCATGGGTGAGCAGAATATTATTATAAATTAAAATAGTATATTTTATGATTGGATCATAATTATGGCCTTACAAATAAGTCAAATTACGAAGACCAAAGAACATTCTTTTGCTGATAGAGGTAAGTAGGTTATCACCTAAATTCCTTAAAATTTATGTCAGTAGTAATATTAGAGGCAAAAATTAATAAGTATCATAATGATTAAGCTTAAAATACATCCATTTAGTGCTTAAATATTAGTGATAAACAATATATATAGGAAATATGAAAGCTCAGAAAAAATTAAATTCTAGCTAACAAAAAAAGCTGTAGTTGAAAAAGGTTAGCAAGGTAATGCCTCTAAAATTTATCAATTATTTTATGGAATAATCTAAACAAGCGTTTTAAGAAAAAATAAGAATCTTACAATTTCTTTAATGCGATGAGGTGAGAAAACAAATTGTCTTCAACTGATTTTATTCGAATATTCCATAAAGATCTTAAATTAATAAGTTAATAACATAGTTATAAAATTTAAAATATAGCGAACACGATTATTAAGACTCAATAATATTATAAGTAACTATTTAATTTTAGTAAGCGATGAACAATTTATGCTTTATTTGAATAACATGAGTGAATAGAATATTATATAATAAAATATTTTATGATAGGATCATAATTAGGGCCTTACAAATAAGTCAAATTATGAATGCCAGAGAACATTCCTTTGCTAATGGAGGTAAGTTGGTTAGAACCTATATCCCTTGTATTTTATGTCAGTAGTAATATTAGAAGAAAAATTAAAAATAAGTATGGTAATAATTAAGCTTAAATTGCATCCATTTGGTACTTTCATATTAGTGAAAAAAATATATATATGGCAAACAGAAGAACTCAGAAAAAATTAAGTCTAGCCAACGAAAAGGATTTTAGTTGAAATAGATTAGCAAGGTAATGCCTCTATAGTTTATCAATTTGCTTATGTAATAATTCCAAGCGTTTTAATAAAGAATAAGAATCTTACAGTCCAGTCAAGGCAACTAGATGTGAAAAGGAACCGTCTTCAATTGATTTTATTTTGTTATTCCATAAAGTTCTACAAGTGATAAGTCAATAACATTGCAATAGGATATAAGAATTACTAAACACGTTTATTAAGACTCTTATAATATTATAAGGAAGTAACTATATAATTTATAGAGTAAGCTGCGAACATTTTATGATTGATTAGGGTAGCATGGGTGAGCAGAATATTATTATAAAATAGTAAATTTTATGATTAGATCATAATTATGGTCTTACAAATGATTCAAATTACGGAGACCAGAAAACATTTCTTTGCTGATGGAGGTAAGTTGGTTAAAACCTATATCCCTAGTAGTTTATGTCAGTAGTAAAATTAGAAGCCAAATTAATAATAAGTATGTTAATTAAGATCCATTTATTTGGTCATATAACATTAGTTCAAAACATTATTTATAGGAAATATGAAAACTCAAAAAAAATTAAATTCTAGCTAACGAAAAGGGCTGTAGTTTAAAAAGGTTAGCAAGATAATATATCTAAAATTTATCATTTAGCTTATGGGATAACCTCTAAGCGTTTTAATAAAGAATAAGAATCTTACAGTCCAGTCAAGGCAATGAGATGAGAAAACGAATTGTCTTCAATTGATTTTATTTTGTTATTCCATAAAGTTCTACAAGTAATATGTTAATAACATTGCAATAGGATATAAGAGTTACTAAACACATTTATCAAGACTTTTAATTGTATTACAAAAAGGTCTATAATTTATTTTGTAGGCTATTGATTTTGAGAAGTACGGGGAACAATAAATGATTTAATTCCATTAGCATTGGTAAACAGAATATTATTATATAATAAAAATTGCATAATATTATCATAATTACAAACTTACAAATAAGTCAAGCTGGAAAGGCCAGCAAGCTTTTTTTTAGTGATGACGGTGAGAGCGTTATCTTCCAAATTTCTTACAATATTAGTCAGTAATAATTATAATATTAATAAAAAAACTTATCAATGTATAGTTCTAAGTAAATATACCCTTATAATTCTTTTTTTATTATTAGAAAAAATACACTGCAGCTAAAAAAACACATAAATTAAAAAAAAATGTTATCTAGAGAATATTTACGTCTATTCTATAGCTTTTTCTTACTAACTTAAAATAAAGATATACTGGAAATCTTACATGGACGTTACAGAAGTGTGTAATCTCGCTCCCAACGGTGGAAAAGTATCCAAGTTGCACCCTTTTAAATCCCTTTAAAAATGTATGCATTTTCGTAAAGCACGTTATAACATCAAGTATGATGCTAAAAGTTGTACTGAGTAGATACTTAATTATAATCAAAAATATATTATTAATAAAAACATTTACTAGATCTTCTGACTTTAAATTAAGATCATTAATATTATGGTCTTATGGGTTTTACGTTTACAATATGTCAGCAATATATAAGGCAGGCATGGGTGCTTACATTTCTTCATGGTCGGTGTATACCCCTGGACAATGAGATTCTTGTGTATACTGCGACGAATACACCCATCTCCCTTGAAAAATTAATATGAGTACGGCAAAGAGGCAGCCCACACGCGGCATACTGACAATGATTACCACTTTTGACATTAACTGCTCTTAAATACTTGCAGAATAGTGTTTATGTTAACTGATTAAATTTTTGCGTTCGTTTCTTCATATATTAACGCAATCTATCACCTCTTCCCTAGTTAATCTCTCTAGAAAAAACGCAAAACTCTCTAATATGTTTAGTTTAATGCTATGAATAATGAAGTAATATTATAAAAACCTTAACCAAATAATAAAAATAATATTTTACTTATTCATAAAAAAATACTTCTTTGAGTTTATAACTTCGTTTTTTTGTTGAAGAAGAAATAAAGTAATTCAATTTTTATTTATAAAATAAATAATATTTATTTTTTTTACTTTTTCTAGTTTTCATAAATATTTATAAATAGATATTATTTTAACTTATTATTATTTTTTGTACCACTAAAAATATACATGTAATATTTTATTTTTACATATATATAAGTTTTTTACCAGAATTTTATTAGAAAAAATGAAAATAATAAAGTAAATATATAAAAAAATTTTCATTTTAAATAATCACTTTAATAGTGCTTTGATCACAAATTCCTTTAAGTTCGTTGTATTTAATGAATAGTTGTATTCATTAATTTTAATTTCCTTTATAATAACAAATCTTTATTATAATTAATTTCTTTTTAGGTTATAATAATAATTATATATAGAATTTTTTAAAAAAGTTTATACATCACAAAAAATTCCAAAATAATAATATCAATATAATGAAGTACCACATGAAAGTCAAGAACTTTTAAGAATGCACTTATAATATATGTATATTAATATACCATATTTATTTTATATGAAAACAAAATTATAACAATTTTTATTACCCATGATTTTAACGAGAAATACTGGGAATTATACATAATAAAAGTGAAATATTAGTAATTCCTACTTTTTTTTGAAGAGATGTAGTAAATATAATTTTTTATTTTGATTTCATTAACAAAATGTATACATTTTCTGTAGTTTACTTGATATTTCTATAGATTTATTATATTAAGTTTTAATAACTTTGTATTAATCATAGTTTATTTTATAATAAATAATCGTAGCACGGGCTGGGGATACCACGTGATAATGCTATTTTTATATTGAATTCCTTTTTAATTTCATTAAAAATAACTGGATTGGTGTTTACGTTCAAGTTTAAAATAAACATCCCAGTTTAAATTGCCCGATCAGGAAAGTTTTATGACGAGCTAAATCAAATATTTTAATAAACGTATTATATTGCGATATACTGCTTATTTTTTCTAGATATCTAATTAGTATTATTGTAACAGGGTTTTTTCGGGGCTCCCTAGGGTTGTGGGCTGTTGTAGGAGTTTTGAGGGTTTGAATGCTTTACAAAAAATGTCATTACAAACGCACTCCCGTGCCTTGTTAGTCGGTCTCTTCAGATGAAATTATTGAGACAGGCCTCATTATCATTAAAATATTTTATAGTTAACGAAAGTCTATAAACCTATTTATATACTATAAGATTTCAAGCTATTTTTACAGTTCTATTCTGTAAGTAAAATAAACATCATTATTACCCAATAAAGCTAATATTAGAAACAACCATGAAGCTAAACTTCTGTCATGTAGCTTATTTTTTTTTTGACAAAAGTTATAGTTTTTTTAATTTTTTTTTTTTTTAACTTATAGTTTAAGTTAGAATTATGTAAAATTATTTAATCCTGGTTATAGGATTTCAAATATCTGGTTACTGTAACCTAAGTGAATTTTTCTTTTTAGGTTTGAAAGGAACTTTAGTTTCTTAGTAATTCAGGTGTATAACACTTTACGAAATAATTGTATATTGTTAGTTACGCGAACACTTACAGTTTCGTTGAATCTCTCGAAAGTTTAGCTTACGTCTTTATTTAAATAATATTTTGTTTTACTAAGTATTTTGAACTTATAATTTCAATATAAAAAGCCTATTTTATTTTAGAGTTATAAATATGCAAATCATACTTAATTTTTAAAATTATTACAAATTTGAAAAGGTAACGTCAGTATTTTTTTTGGCTTTTTTATACCTGCCAAATATAGTTTGTACGACAGAGTATATAGATATAAAAGATCTTATAAAACAGATAAATATAAAATATAAGTGCATCTAAACGGAAGTATAAAAAAGTCAGACTAAAGGGTATTAAATTGCAGAACACTTGAAGTGCTAAGAAAAAAGTAATTCAAGGAATGTAGGGTAGCCAATTAGTAACTTATTTACACTACTACTGATAGATATACCAACAGAAGTATGTAAAACGGTTTACTTGGGCCGCAAAATCCACCTTACAAGTTTTTAGAGTTTGAAGTATATATAAAATATATATCTGATAATAGGTTGTAAAAAATAAAGGGTGGAGATAACATTTTATTTTAAGTAAAAAAGATAAACGGTTGGACTCTGAAAAAGGGCACACAAAGGTTCGAATTTACCATCACAGTTTAACTTAAACCCAGACCGAAAATAAACAAAGCTATCAACCATTAGGAAAATAAGAAGTAAAAATATAATAAATCTCTTACACAAATACTTTTTTAGTTATATCAACAACCTTCTTGAAAAGGTCAAAATCTACTTAAAAATCTAAAAATTTCTCGTATATAATCTACAGGTGGCCTGCAACGGGCATCAAACAGTAAAATTTAAATATTTTCCTAAGGTAAAAGAGCCAAAACATTTTAAGTTCGTCTTTATTCTTTTAAGTAGTCTGACTAGTTTACCATTAGGACCCAGTTCAGGAGTTATTCCCATGGGCTTACAATAATTAACTTTATGACTTCTGACCTAAGAACCTTTTCTGTGCCGTGTCCTAAGGTCTCATGTTCTTTGTCAACGGTCATGTTAACCTTTCCTATTGAGACTGAAAAAATCTGAAGGGGGTTGTCCATTTCCTGTAAAAGGCTCTAGTACACTCGGGCTACTTAAAGTGTTCAAATATCGGAATTCAACGTTAGTAGGTATATCAGCCACTGGTATCCCTAAAAATATCTAAAGGTTCCTCATTTGATGGGCACTCTTGCAAACCTTTTCCCTTGATCCACTCTCTTTACATGGGCATAAGGTTGCCTCAACGTAGTGGCAACTTTCGTCAAAAGATCATCCGGTGAATTCACCCTACACATATTTGTTTCAGAAAAGTAAAGTGTTTCGGGCCAACCCTTGTTGGTTACCTCTGCTTAAGAAGACTGCATTACATTCTCTGTTGAGCTATAAATCAATCGTAACGAGTCAAATATGCGTGAGTGGTGTTACTATCAAGAGCCAAACCAAATTTATTATAGACGTTTGTCTGGCATCAAAAAAAAATTCATTGGGGTCAACAACGTTTATATGCATTCCAATAAATAAATTTGGGATATAAACAGTTCTATAAATATTTTAACTGTGTAATGATAAGAAAAGACAAAGTTTTTACCACATTTACAAAAGGTTTAAAAAAATTATTAATTTAATGTGATACACTAAGTTCATTTCCCCTAAATATTTAGCTTACACTTTTTCAATACAAACGGCTTATAATATATCTTAAAAAAAATATTAGAAATCTTTTATATCGTTCTTAACAGTATAAAAATAGTTAAGTGAGAACAGTGCAGCCTTACTAAGGGAAGCAATATACTAGGAGTCAAATCTTTACGGTATCGTGATACCCATTGGTATTTTCTCTACATTGGGCGGAAAAGTTGTAAAATTGAAGTTTTGTAAACACCTTTTATAATAATGAGCCTTAAAAAATAGGTGTGCATTTTATTAAGTAAAATTATAAGATTTGAAATAAGTCTTCAACAAACGTCGAGATATTTTATTAAAGTCTATAAATAAAAATGATAACTAAATTTAGATCATCTATTTTTATTTTATGATGAGTTTAAAGTAACCAATTGTATTAAAAAAATAATAAACAGGAAGGAGTACACACAACTTCGTAGGGTTGGTATATGGTCTTCAATGTTTGGGTAAAAGATCAACCGTAATCCCTGCAAGAGTACCAACCTTCCCCAGAGGGACAGAAAGAAGAGAAAGGCGAAGACGCAACTAACGCGTAGCATATCCTACAAAAGTAGCGATGCTGACTCTCCTATATACTTATTGTAAAAAAAGTTGGTTTATGATTGTCATCTTGATTTTTTAAAGCACCTTCTTATGTAGATCAACGCACTCAGTTGGCGCTCCTTACTATATAGTCAATTAAAAACCACTAGCATTTTCCTCTTCTTAGCCCTTCTAGGATAAATATCAATGTAATTTTTTTTTGAAAATGATTCTTAATTTAATCTCATAGTTTTAATCTCAAATTCCAACCAATATCTTTATTAATAATAGTTTTATAAAGGGAAAATAAAAAAGGTTGCAATAATTCTAATTTTTTCTTATAGTAAGCAAGTAAACATGAATGTATAAACATTATGCTTAATTTCTAAACGATTAATAAAAAAAAAAAAAATTAATTTCGTAGTTGTATGGACTGTGGTGTAATATAAATCCACTAAATGATAAACTAGGCCCTCGATATTCAGTTAATTCGGTAAAGATAAATTTCAAGTTTTTATTAGTTACTTCACATTGCATTGGTTACCAAATAAAGTGGGTCTTAGCTGTTTTAAACTTTAATTTTTTTTATATGCTTATATTTTAAAATGATAATATTCAAGAAGGTAAGGCACATCCAAGTGGCACTCCACTTTTGCCTCTCACAATACCATTTCTTCTTTGAGGTATAAAATAAAAATTATAGCATGCTGCCTGTAAATTAGTGTTACACTTTGGCGGACTACATCCTAGTGCCGTAGAAATTTAATTTCGGAAAGGACTATTTTTACCTCAACTTTAATGAAAAAAAAAAAAGTTGTCCATATAATTAATATTTCCTATTTTTACAAAGGGGTATGTTATATCAGTGCAGCCCCGTCGATTAGAAGTTTTAATCTCTATGTTGCTAGCTTTAAGTCAGGTTTCATTAGTCATACATAATAAATGTGTAACTGCTCCTTACTTAGTGTCTCTGTTCCCTTCAACTTTATAAAGCTAATAGTCTTAAGATAGAAAATTTGTGATGATAGCGAAATAAGGGGAAAAGGGGTAAAGGAGAGCGACCATCTTATCACCCCGCAAAGAAGAGATAGTAACTTTTGCGGATGACCTGTAAGTTAAGAGCAGGTTTTTTAAATTAAATAATAACTTGGCGCTAACCATTAACTTGCACCGTAGAGACAAATAAATTACCTCCAGTAAATTCAAGTAGTCAAAGTTTTAAGTAGAAACCTTAGAGAATTGCTCTTTAAATATTGTTAAGATACACTAATCATAATAGTTGAGACTTCAAACTGCATCTTTTGCTTAGTTTATAGAGGATACAAATATAAAAGCTTAACCCAATAAACCCTCAAGTCTGCGAAAAAGAAATAAACATAAGGATAAAAGTGGATAAGTATAGAATGAATATATGATATATATATATAAAGAAAATGTAAAGTAAACAGTTAAAAAACCTAGAATATAGAAAACGCAGAATTATATTTTGTATTCACCTTGATTTCCGTTCTCATTTTTCGTCTTTGATACTAAATGCTTATATTTTATTAAACTCCCTGCGTGAGACATTTAAACAGCTTAAATTTTTAAGAGAAAGGCACAAGCTATACTGGCTAGTTCAAGCTCGAATAAACGCGCAAAACTATCTTTATTTTGTATAGCAGCTGATCCTGTCGTGGTAGCAGATGGACCAAAGGTGATACGAGCTTGTTGAAAAAAAAAAAAAAAGGCGACACCATTAAAAATTCCAGTAAAACAGGCAAATAAAAATGACTTTCTAAAAAATAATTTTAAAAAGAAAAGCTTCAAAAAAAATTAGTAATTAGGAGTTGTGGACAATTTTTTTTTTTATGGGCCACCAGTTGGTCCCGCGAGGATGAAAATATAGTTTTTAATTTAAAAATAATGACTTTCATGTTAGATTAAAATAAAGTGGACTTCTCAAAATTTTATGGTAAAAAGCTAACTTTAAAAATTTTTATAATTGTATTTTTTTTGCTTATACTTTAAGTGTTCTATAAAGATTTATTTCAACTAAAAAAAAAAAAAAGAAGTTTCCTTGAACTTTATTAGTGGAAAGATAAATCCTTTTTTATTAATTATGATTAAAAAAATTAAATAATTATGAAAATTTTATTTGTCACCTTAAAAAAAAACTTTTTGTTTCAACAGAATAAATAATTAAAACACTGATTTAATAATAATTCAAGAATGAAAGAATAAAAACCTTTTAGTCTATGGAAAACCAAGTAGAAATTCCATGCCAACAAATTTTTAGGTTAATTTTATAAATTCATAAATTAAATTTGATAAATTTACTTTGCATCTTTAGAAGTAAGGGCAAAGAATGTTTGAGTGACGGTATCCAAATGCCTACAAAAATATAATCACTAAACAATTGCAAAAAAATTAAACTAAAAAAAAATTATCAATAGTTAATTTAAAATAAAACCGACTTAAAATTAAAAGTTAAGTAATCTTAAATTATGTAAGAATTAAAATTAGTGTTTAATAAATTAATTGTTTACTTTTTTCTTATAATTTGTTCGGTAGATAGCTTTCTCGTGTATGTTAATATTGTATATATATTATGTAAAGTTTATATATGACTATTTAAACATCTAGTATACATACTTTTTATTTTTTAATTTAGTTTTTGTTTAATTATAATTTATATATATATTGAGCTTACTTTCTTGTGCATACTAATAATACATATATATTATGTAAAGTTTTTACATATTAATCTATGCATAAGATTCCATTTTGAAATTATATTGCTTATAAAAAACTCAGTACCTGTAATTTTTCGGAAACCCTAGCAGCAAGTAAGCTCATCTTTCATTCAAGAGGTTGACATACTGGCTTCCAGTAAAATCTTACCTTTAAAGGTTCCACCATTATAACGCTCTTGACCCCTTAAGGGGAAGACTCTGGGGCTAAAAATGAATTTGTTTTTTCTGCGAAATCACATCCTTTGTTGAAACTATACTTTATTGTCCAAAAGTCCAATATTTCAAAATTTGATTCTATATACCCCAAACTAATATTTACATACCTAGCTAACCAAAAATAAACTTCTTACACCCAGAACTTTTTTTATCCAATTGTCCAATAAAAAGATCGTGCGAAACTGCCCAACGTAATGTTTACTGGTAACTAAATTTACCTCTTTTTTGTTTTGTTGGTTGCTGCCTAATTTCGTTAGAACATGGTACTCAAAGTTACCAGAGATTATTTCAGAAACCGAGCCTGTCGTTATGGGTCAATTTCCCATAGACCTACTCTAGACAAGTGGTAAGCATAGGTGCAGAAAATAATTCTATTAACGTATTGCGTTAGGGCGCAATACGTTAATGCAAAGGTTCATTAAGATGGAAGAAAAGAAGGAAAGTAGGACAACCTTTAGCCCAACTTTAACCTTTATTCCGGTTAAAAAATCAATGGGAATAAAAAATATATTAAAATTATTACAAATTTTATTATAAAATAATAAACCTATATAAATAGCACCACGCGTTTATATGAGACATAAAGGCAATGCCACTGACGAGGTAGTTGGGGGCCATCATTCACGTTAAGCTTAAACTTTTTTTTTATCCTTTACTTTCTGCCAGAAGCAAACTCTTTCGACAAAAAGCAAACACTTATATGTACTATGTATCCGACCTAGCATAAACATACGCTTCTGCTGCCGGGACTTACGACTCCCGGCGATGGTCCTTTCGAAATTCACTTAAGACAAAACGGTATACTACGGCTCATATCGGGCACTTCGTAATTTGTGCAAACGATGAACCATACAAAAACCTCCAGTTAAACAAAAAAAAATAAATTATAAATATTGTTTTTCTCGAAGCTTAAGTGCATGACTACAAATTTTCAACCTAACGCTTTTACCACTTACGGATATTCTTACTAAGCCTATCAATTGATAATAAGAGGGGAGCTCAGTTAAGAATCGGGGCAGGGCACGCTATCGCCAGTCACATAATATAAAATTTTGTAGTATTATAGATATCAGGACTAAAGGTAAAAAGATACATTCACTATGACTTATATCTATTATCCTGCCATGAAGGGCGGTTTTTCGTTAAATTTGGTAATCTTGAAGTCTTTAAAATTCTCGTCTACCGCTCTGAATTTTTTAAGGATCTTACATAACGGTTATAATTATAGTGTTATAGCTTCTTTGGTCATTCTTTCTTGTCTTTACTTCATCTCCTCTTGGAGCTTAAAAATTGCCCGTAATAGTACCTTGGTATATAGTCGCATTAAACTAGCTGTCGATCTACTCGAATATGGTTTACTCTCTTAGTTATATTACTAGTCTCTATCTTTCGTAGTCTGATGCAACGCAAATTTAATCGAGTTCCGGAGCAAGGCCGTCAGCAACGAGTCTATTTTTTCACCACAATTCTTCAAGGTAGATCGCAGTAAATTATAAGATGCAATATAGTTAAACAAGTATGACCGGTTCCATCGTAAAACAATCTGGGCTATATAAATTAACATTGAGCAAAACTATGAGAGAAGTAGGTTTTCATATAAAATAATCCGCCGACCTAATGATTTTAATCTGGGTTTATTAATTTTTAAGTACTAAAAACATGAAGCTACAAACAATTGGTTTTACCTCCCCCCCCCTTATTTAAACAGTTTTGTAAAAGAGGTTAAAGGGAATACTTTCAAAACCGCCTTTATGAGTTTGAATAAACTGGAACGCTAGTGGATAGTGTTAATCCTTTTAACGTAGGCCACACCCCCACAGCTCGGAGTTAATAGGGTAGTTTATAACACCATTTACTGAGGAAAGCATCTGAAAGAGGATGTTTTATAGTCCTAAATTCAAGCACTCAGATTATTAGTTCAGTAAAAACCTGTGTCGATGCAATAAGGGAAATTTAGTATCGCTTGTTTAGAAAATTACCACGATTTTGGCTTAGTTCACACAAAGCCACTAAAACCGAATGACCTGATGATAAAGATAAATAACTTAGATTTCTTCCTTAATACTGGTCAGTAGATAATATACTAATCTTTTATTTCACTAATAGAGGGCGTTAACCGCGAAGAAAGGTTGTCATCAGAGTCTGAATGAAAACCACAGATAGACTAAGCAGGATTTGCTAACTGTGAAGATCAAAGGTTTGTCTAACGAAAAAAAACAATATGATTTAGAAATTTAAATGTACTAACTGACTTTCGTAAAGGACTAAAAATGGTTTACTAGAACTGGCTTTGAGGTATGTAAAATTTTCGTGAGATTTACTAAAAATATTAGAAAATTCCGTAAGCTAAAGTACAAACCATGAGTATTTTAATAAAAGTTGCCTTCAAGACTGATGGTTGGCTACTAATCCAAGCAATCGCTAAAGTTATCATGGCAATGTATAAAGTGGAAAAAACAAGTGTGTAGGAAAGGTCTTTGACTAAAGCCTTAATTCGACCACCCGTATGTCACTTTATTGATTAGGCCTCTAAAAGTAATGTATGACTGTATATAATTAAAGCTTTATAGTAACAAACTTTTGTTAAACTACCTTAAAAAAGTACAAGTTAGCATGGCCTTAGTCAATCGAGCTAAAGATTTAAAACACAAAAGGCAAACTATTATGGAACCTGATCCGATAAAATATGCAACAATTTATGAAGGAAGATATATCATTTTAAAATTAAAACGTCTTGGAGTGCAAACGTAACTCATTGTCCGTCACTCTGGGCTTAGAAGTTGAGAAAACGGATTGAACTTAATTCGTAACGGTAAACCTTAAAGAAATGCGAGATTAAAAGACATGGGAACTTTAAGGAAACAATAACTTTTGCAAAAGAGTCCAAGTTAGCCTTTTATTTAAGAGATTTACCATGCTGAGATAATAGAGATAAAGTCAGTTGAAACAGTTATTTAATCTCCTGATTTCTTCCTATATTTTATGTAATATCAAAGCTACTATGTGTTCGGTGGCTCTTATTGCACTCGACCGAAGATATAAACGCTGGATATATTCTAAACATGTAAGATCTCTTAAAATATTTTCTCCTTTTATGATAATATTCAAAAAATTATGGACTCAAAAAGGTCTCATGTATCCTGCACTACTGTATATTCATCCTGTAATAAGAATACTTTCCCAATCATAATTTTAAACAACCTCAACTGAACTAAATAAGATAAAGTTCAAAGTTATAATAGAGAAGAATTGGTTGAGTTAACAAAAATATTTTTATAAAAAAAGAATTGATACTCAACCCTAACTCTCTTACTGGCCTACGCAAGGTATTAGCCTGTTCTTATTGCTATTAATATTAATTATTCTCGTTAAAAAATTAATTATAATATAACATGTATTAAAGTTTCTTGATAATTTCTACAAAACTTTATAAGTTCGGATTAGAGAAAAGTTTCCAGAAATAAAATTTTATTAAAGTTTATATTAAAATAAATCACTGCACTTGGGGGCCCCTCCCCTAATGGTGATTATTAGTTACGTCAAATATGCCTTCCTTTATTTTGCATCTAATTTTAAAAAAATCCGTAAGATATCACTTTACTACGTTAAGTTTTTATAGTTTGAATTAAAGAATAAAGAATTTAAATAGAATAGTAGCAAATCTGGTTCTACCACCAAAGGAAATAATAGCTTAAGCAGGGAGGATATAATATGCACTTCATCTCTTTAAGAATCCACTGCGGCTCCCTTTGAATGAGGAGCTGATAGTCCGAGAGGCTTGACCCGACAGTGATACCGGTCGGTGTTTCCGAGAGAACTTGGGTCTAGTGCTCGGGCGCCTCCACCGGGGCACCGGGGGTGGTTTTTAGGCAGTTAGGGCTACTAGTCCAAACGGCGGATATTAGAACCTACGAGGGCGAGGTTAGATACGTAACCCACCAAAGACCGAAAAAGAGAGTCGCGCTTGTGGGAATCGAACCCATGAACTTGAGACTGTGCGTCAATGCTCCTAACCGCTGAGCTACGACGACAACTCCGGTATGATGGATTTACGTATATAGTCTAATAGCGGATTTTAGACCGGTTATTACCAATAAACGATGGATAAGTACACGGACATCTCCGCTCTAACCCCTCATAGAAGGGATATACGGGGTACGCGTCTTAAGATTTTTAAAAGGCCTAATGCATTGTTAGACTGCTCACTACGCTAAATAAGACGCCTAATTTAAGGAACTAAAAAAAAAATTATTAAAGAGTAAAAATTTAGCATAGCCGGGTAACTTAGGATGATGATCTCAAAGTAGTAGACCTGGTCCTTCGAGATGGGAGCCGTTGCGACACACGTACTTTTAACATAACCGCCGTGGTTAGGCGTGTCTACTCAATAAAAGATACTTAAAAGTTATTTTATAAATTTTTTGATTAAATTGTTAGTTTCTTCTAACGTTTAAGTATTGACCGCCTATCAATATTACTAAAACCTTTTTAAATTAAGGTATTGAGTGTGATACCGCAAATAATCAAAAATAGTAAAGAAATTTTGCTACTTAACTTGTTTACAATGAGAAACAAACTTACCAAAAATCAAAACTACTCCTCTTTCTTCTAATTCAGTGCTTACTATTATACCCCTTAGTTTCTTTATGTATTTATATGGTGATTTTTCTTTATTAGACGACTTTCCAATGATCAAGTAAGAATCTTATGACCACCTTCAGTAATAAGAATGGTGTGCTCGAATTGAGCTGCGTAGCCCCCATCGCGCGTTGCTGCAGTCCAACCGTCGCTCCTTAAGAAGTTCTTTATGTAACGCCTTCATAATTTACAAAAAAGCAGCAATCAGCAAGTCACCAAATCACGTGTTCTGCCGATCCCTGGCATAGAATTGGTTCAATGGTAAACACAACTCCCGGCTCCATTATTCCAGAGCTTTCCGTTGCTGAAAAAAGTTTTTAATTAAGAAAAAATGATTGGGTTATAATTTCGTTTTATAAAGCTGAAACGTTAAAGACTAGTTAAGGCCGCAGTCAAAGCATAAAAGTTTCACACGCACCTGTGTGGTGTATAATAGGGGCACCGTGAAATTCTGATCCGATGCCGTGGCCCACAAAGACAGGAGACACAGAGTACCCCCGAGAGTGACTAAACGCCCTTATAAAAAGTCAATTGTGCGCACTACAAGCATTTAAAAATTCTAACAATTCAAGTTTTCTATAACAAAGCCTCTAAAAAACTTTGTTACAGAAAAGGTTATGTCAATATATATTAATAAAAAAACATTTTTGTTACATAATTATTTAATAACTTTCAATAAAGTATTTCTGCTGATTATTTGAATACTCGTAAACTATAAAATTTTATATAATCTAACTTTAAAGCTAGATTAAATCTGCTAGATGTTTAAAGCGAAAAATTTTATTATAGATGTTATTAATGAAGACTCTATAAATTTCCCGAGGTCGCTGTAGGAGCGGCCAGGTCTGCATAAACTAATGCTCTTCAGTAAAGCCAGACGCGCGGTTTCAACGAGGTTCTATATTTAATAATAGTAATCTATAATATACGTATAAGATTCAGAGAGACAAAAGTTTATAAGATTTATTAAATTTTTAAAATTGATAAGTTCTAAACAAATAATAATCAAAGGATATACAAGATTTTATTGACAGCAAGGCAAGAGTAATTAGTTGGTGTACACTTCCCTTGCAAAGATAATTTATATTTTAACTTAAAAAAACAACATTAAGTTTATTACAACGTTGAGGTTTTAACAAATTTATATAATATATTTATCTTGAGTTATTGCGTTCTAAAAGAAACTGGGTGGTAGATTCTTTATAATACTTTTCATCATAGTAGACATATTACATGCAAATCCTACTAATTGCCAGGCGGTCTTCTTTCTGCTTTTTATATAATAGTCACTTTCAGTGGGAAACAGTACACTTTTGTAATTGTTAGGACACAAACTAAGTATAAAATCATGATACACTTCGGAAAACATGATTGCTTTAGTCTTCCTTAAAAAAATTAAAAACTCTGCTACGCGGAAGACTTTAATAGCGCTTTAAAAATGTTATTAACGAGTTATAATAATTTCATAATCTCCGTTAAAAAAAAAGGCGACCAAAATTCGTAAAGGAAAAACTTTCTGTTAAGTAGAAAGAATAACAAATTTATAATGAAGCCAGTGACTCCACTTCAAATGTATGTAATAACTATTATCCTTCAAAAGCAGCTATTCCAGGACAAAGTGAGAGAGAGAGATCATTGGAAGTAAGATAATAATTAAAAATTATGTTTAATAAACGGAAAGTTTATCCTTCGGAGTCAACTTAGTGTAGATTAAAGTTTTACGAAATAAAAAAATTTTTTAAACTAAAAACTCGCTTTCTTAAAAATGAAGTATAAATAATGATTATTCTTATTTATAATTGCTTTAATGCCGAGAAAGTGTTCATAAAATCCTGTAAAAATGACGCAGAGTCTTAAATCGACATGCTAAAGGTTTGCTACTACGCCGTGTCGTGCAGCGTAGGAACAAAAGTTTTTTATGAAAACATTAGACATAAAAATAAGAATAAGAAATTGTCTTACTGACAAAAACACTGAAAGTTCTAACTTACATTTAAAAAATAATATAAATTAAATACTTTTAGCGGAGGAGAAACAGAACCAACGAATAAGAAATTGTCTTACTGACAAAAACACTGAAAGTTCTAACTTAAATTTAAAAAAATGTAAAATAAATACTTTTAGCGGAGGAGAAACAGAACCAACGAAAAAAGTTTCTGAAGCATCTCCGTGAACGCCATTCTTATAAACTGAAACGTCAATATTTATTATATCACCGTTATCTAGTTTTCTTCTTTGGGAATAAAAGTTAGAAATTAGCAGATAAAATAAATTAATTAATTTAATTCTAAATAATTACGAATCTGGGATGCCGTGGCATAAAACGTTATTAACTGAAGTGCATATGGATTTTGGGAAACCTCGATAATTTAAAGGAGAAGGATAAGCATTATTACTTAGTATAAAATCATGTATGGAGCAATCTATTTCGTGAGTGGAGTTGCCAATCTTTTAAAAGATTTGACTTAATAAATAATTACAAAACATAAGAATACTAAGTATTACTTGACACAATTTCTTAGCTTCAAGCAGTACTTTTTTAACCAACGTACAAGTCTCACATATAGCAAGGATTTCTGAATAAGTTTTCACTTTTACGGGTAACAAACCTTTTAGTTTAATAAAAGATAGGAGAGGCACATATAATTCGGTTAAATAAGAAACAAATACAAATTAACCTTCAGGATCAGTGGAACCTTTACCTGTCATAGCATAAGAGGGCCTCTCTATATGAGAAGGCACTGAACAAATATCTGTCTTGACCACAGAACCAGGAATCTAATGAAATAAAAAGTTTTGTAACCTTGTATATTTTGAGGTACTTAAATTACAATTGGGGTAAAAAAAGGCCTTTCTGTTTTGTTGAAAACTTCTTAAACTGACAAACGTGCGAGGCATTAGATATTTACATCATGAAAGTAGTAATAAAGAATAGGACAAAAAAAACGTTAACTTTATTAATTTAAACAATCCTTACTAAGCTCAATCTTAAAAATGAACATAAAAAGGATGAAGAACACTTTAGCAACATCACTATGAGCTTTTCTTGCTTAAATAAGCCCAAGATTCTTCAAGGTTCCTCGCCCCTTCACTGATACCTTCCTGCTAAGTAACTGTTAAAACTTGATACCTACTGAAACTCTTAGAGATACTCTAAGAAAAAAGAACTATATGCTAAAAAAGATGGAAATTTTTCAAGATTATAAGTTAGGTGAAAATAACAAAAAAAAGAAATAAATAAAGAAGCCCAAAACTGTCGCAAAGCTGTTCTACTGATAACTCTAACCATATGAGGGAAGAAAAGTTTTTAAATTCACTTAAAAATTTAAGAGTTCCACTTCAATTTCTTTAGTATGCATCAGAAGACGAATACCTC